GTAGTGGCTGCAAAAGTAAAATAAAGATTCTGTTCTGAAACATTTTTTTCTGGAACTATCTTTTCAATTGATGACAGGAAAAAAAAAATTCCCTTTCTTTGTTTAGTTAACTGAATAGAGGATAATTTTGCTTCTACCTGAAGAATAAGGCAATTTTCTTATTAACCCTTTACCTCCCAGATCAAATTTGTAATTCTTCTTACTGTCAACTACACAATTCTTATGTAAGTCCAAAGAATTTAGTATTGGATCAACTAATTATCCCCGAATTGATATTTTTCTTTATTCTCATCACTCATCTGGTTGATATTATATTGATATTGTAAGGAGAAATTCTGTCTTGGTCACTCATGGGAGTTAAAGGGTTAAAATGTATAAGAACCAGTTTCAGCAGGGTATGCTTTTCAAAAAACAAATTTGAAGCAAGACTTTCCTATTACCCTGTACTTCATTATACGTACAGTATCTAGATAAAAAAAAGAAAAAGGGAAAGAAAAAGAAGGCAAAAAAAATTGATCGTCTAATGGCTTTGGTTAAGAACTTTGTTTACAAAGTTTTGGGTTATGTCAAGGAACCATTAGAATAGTAAGAGGTTGTGCAGAAATATTTTCAAATTTACTGTCGCTTAAGGGTTGCCTAATTAAAAGTGCTGACGCACTGAAGACTCAGTCTAACCTTTGAACAGACTTATAGGGAGAAATGTATGAAGATCAAACAGCAAATTCACACAAATTTAAGAGCTCTGAGGCAAATTAGACTAACCAAAACATCATCACTCATTTGAGATAAAAGCCCAAAATTTTGGACAAAAAATTAAAAAAAAAATTTTCTTCCTCTCTAATAAAATACCTTAATGCATAGAAAATGAGCCATACTCCTTCAAATTCCTTCCACTGATCAATCCGCCGCACCTCCATGTTTTATCACGAGCGCTCTTCTGAAGAGACTGGAAACGATAGTCACATGTGTTGTTGGTCTTGTGACCATCACGAGAACGGGTTTTGACAACAAAAACTGAAAAACGCCGCAAATAGTTGCATAATCTACCCTGCTATCGATAAGGCAGTTCTTCTAGTAAGTATGAGGTCTCTTTTGGCGTGTTTAACCTTGTTGGGAATTACATGTGCTTTCAGATTTCCCACTCGCAAAGACGGCAAAGGTTGTTATCAGCCAAGTTTTGACAAAGGCATTAAGGAAGTTGTGTGAGTAAATAATTTCTGGTGTGTTCTGCTTTCCAGATTTCCTTCAGTTTCGTTGGTAAGAGGCGTACCTTTTCTGAAACAAACAGATCAAACTGTATAACTTGAAGTGTGAGCGTGTTTTTTTCTGCGCAGGGACTTGTCATATTATAGCGTGTCTTCAACTCTGAAATGACCAACAGTTATCGGAGCTATAAATTTTAAACTGAGATCAGACTTAGCTGAAACTGAAGCTGTTTAGCCAAATCGAGATAGAAACGCGAAAATGATGAATACGATAAGTTACCGTTTTAAAGAGCGAAATTTTTTCAACGAGATTTCTCTCAAACGTCGAAAATGCCTTCTGAAGATGATTTTCGCTGAATCATTGGTGAGATATGACGTCAAACAATGTTTTGTCAGTCAATGCCCGTTGGTAAGATAACGGCGTAATATGGCCCCTTAAAAGAAATCGGGCTTGTACAGGATTTAGCGAGATTTCCCTAAAACCCAATGATATTCTAAAACAGAGCTTCAGTTTGGCAAAATTTCCGCGCAGCCCCATACGTCATTATGCATACATATACGGGGCTTTATTATTCAGTGTATCACTAATTAGATGTGCGTGCATAAGGAAGTATGGGCTGTGCGGAAATTTTTCCCTCAGTTCTAAAGGAATCTTAGTGTTTTTGCCATTGTTTGCTTTCATTAAAGAACTGTACATAATTTAATATGTGGTTATGCGAAAACCTAGCAAAAGATGTCATCTGCATGCTGCTTTAACTCATGCATTAATGCTGTACAACCTATCTTCAATTTTAAACAGGAAAACTCCACGGCCCCATGAGTACCTGAGTACAGGATCAATTCCCAAACAGTGGGATTGGAGAGATGTTCCTGAAAAAGGTAACTTTGCCAGTGTTACACGTAATCAACACATCCCTCAGTACTGTGGCTCCTGTTGGGCTCAGGGAACAACTAGTGCAATGTCAGATAGAATCAACATCATGCGCAAGGGGAAATGGCCTAGCAACCTCCTGTCAGTTCAGAATGTCCTGGACTGTGGTAAGAAAATTTTGATTGTTATCTCAAATATCTTAAACTTCTTGTATATTGAACTCTTCATTTTAATCAATATTCGCAATTGAGAGAAAAACTGTTCAAAATTGGAAACACCATGAAATGAAAAAATTTGTTAACTTAAAATCAAAACAATGGTAATCACCATGACACATAGGAAAAAGGGCCATACCACACAAAGCCAGTGGGATCTCATTTTATATAAAAACTGTTCCAAATGCAGAAATATTACACAACTGAAGATCAGAATTGAGGCAAATTGAAGAGGCATAGGTTTCCTTCAGAGAGGCAAACAAAATAAATGAAAACTCTCATGAACTACTATTACACCCGAACATCATCATGCCTATTCTCCATACTGGTCTCTATACATTTCCAAAGGTGCTGACAAGGAGAATTTGTTTAATGATCAATAGCTTCTTTAGCTTTAGTTGGTGATCATTACTTTCATTCTTTTGACTTAAATGTGTGATTCGGGGGTGGTATTGTTTGGAGCTAAAGGGTTCGTGATTATTTTTGTCTTAATCGTCAACAGGCAATGCTGGTACATGTCATGGTGGTGGTATGATTGGTGTGTATCATTACGCTCATGAAAAGGGAATACCTAGTGAAACATGCAACAATTATCAAGCCAAGGACCAGAGTTGTACAGATTTCAACCAGTGCGGTACCTGCACCACATTTGGTGAATGTCATGTCATTAAGAACTACACTTCATGGAAAGTCAGTGAATTTGGTGAGAGAATTGTTTGAAGATGGAAATATGAATTATGTAATACTTAAAAAAAATTTGGTGAAATAATGATTTTCATTCAGTACACATTTTACCACTTTTGACAGAGGTGATGCACATTTACTGAAATGGTTATTCTTGTTTAGGTTTAGTCTTTGTTTCCAACACTGTTAAGAACTTCAAGTACATCAATGCAATGTTTTCACTTCACATTCTAATGTACAGTTTGTAGTAATGATACTTACCTATTACCTCTGGTATCAGTAACAGGAAAATTCCTAATCAGTGTAATTTTATCAATACAAGGAATCATACATGTAGGTTCTACTGTAGTATCATGGCTTCAGCAAATCTTAATGTGCCATTCTGTCACTAGCTTGGAGAGATGTGGGTCAGATTCTAGCGGTATGATTTTGGCCTGATTAGTAGGGCAGATTAGCTTAGAAGTTTTGTTGAACATTTTCTGCTTCTTTGCTTAACAAATTTTATAAATGCTTTCTCAGGGAGAGTGAAAGGACGTGAAAAGATGATGGCTGAAATTTATGCCAGAGGTCCTATTGCCTGTGGTATCATGGCCACTCCAAGCTTGGAAAAGTACCAAGGAGGAATCTACACTGAATACAACCCAAGCCCTGAGATAAACCACATTATATCAGTTGCTGGTTGGGGTGTGGAAAATGGCACAGAATACTGGATTGTGCGAAACTCCTGGGGTACTCCATGGGGAGAGGAGGGCTGGTTGAGAATTGTAACATCAGCATACAAAGGTGGAAAAGGTGGAGACTACAATCTGGCCATTGAGGAAGATTGTGCATTTGCTGTTCCCATTGTTGAAAAATAGGGCTTATCACCAGATATGACCATTCTCCCAACATTTAAGTGGAGTGATTTTTGGAATAAAATTAATTGTTTGGTAAAAGTTAGGTTAGCCTTTTTATGTTATCTTCTCTTCTCTTTTTTTTAAATGTACTTTTAAAAGATTTATCCTTGTTTGTTTAAAATTATTTCATCCATTTTGCACATTTAAAAAAAAAGGTTAGAAATGGTTTAAAATTTTAAGCAATTAAAACAGTTTTACTTGTTTCATTGTTCAATATCCTGTACCTCTTTTGACTTTGTAAGGTTTTTAAAGATGGAACATGTGTTATTGGGCATCCATAGCCAGGTTTACAAGTGTAATCTTCCATTTCTTGTACCATGCTCTTTCTCGCACCTTTGACTTCAGTCTCCAGACCAAATTTAAAATAAGCTTCAAGTTTATGCAGTTGATAAGTTTTTTCCCACCTCCCACCCTTTTCCCTCTCTCATTATGTTCTCTTCACCACCATCCCATTTTTCTTAAGCATCAGTATCTAAAGACCTGTCTGGACAAACAATCACTGAGCTGCACTGAAAGTAAAATTTTATGTAGCCATGGTTTGACTCATTCTCTACCCAGATTGACCAACTACAATGTGTAAAACACATTTCTAAAGTGATAAGATGAAAGCAAAATATTATCTGGAGGGTGCTGATTGGTTAAACAGTGAAATCTTAAGAAATCTACCGCAGACAGTATGGGGATTTTTCTGACAGCTGCCACTTCAGCCTCAATCAGTCTGCTCCTAGAGTATAAAGATAGGCCATGGGAAAGACCATATGAACAAAGTTGCCCACTCCAAACCCCACGCTATTAGAATACTTTGGATATAGGCAATCTTAAAATAGTTATTTTCTCCTTCAATGAATATTTAGAACTTCTGAATCTTTTCTACTGCTTCACGAGGCTTGCATGAGATACAACAAACATCGAGTGCTGCTATTGCTCAAACCGTTTTGGTTGTTCAGTCTTTTTTTAAGAGGTAAATTAAAATTAAGTATTTCCTGGTGTACTTTATCATCTTGGAATTTGGAGAGTGCAAAATTGTACTTCATAGGCTACATGGGCTACCAAAGAAAGATAAATTAATGAAAAGAAACAAAGAAATGCGCGCGTGATTCTGGAATCACGCGAGTGGAACGCGGTTGCGCGTCATAATGGCGGCGACCATGTTCCACCGAGGTGCGGCCGATTCAGTTTAACGACACTGGTCTAAGTCGCGTTTTCCTCTCGCATCTTTTGTTTCCTTGGATTGTGTTACTTCAAAGGTTATTTGAAAAAGTTGGTAAAGGGATCCGCTTAACAGGTTAGGCTGAAACGCACTTAGTGGCAGGAATCATTTCAAAATAACCTAGTATGTGTCTCCTTGTTAATGCGCTTTTAGTAAGAAAAAGGAAAGGAGGAATGCTCAAAATGTCAGTGGCGTGAAACTCCCTGTCACTGAACTTTTGTGCTTTCTTGAAAAGAACGCCAGAAATTCTATTGATGCCCGGGCCCTTCGTTATGCTATATCGCCCAGGTTAAGCTGCCCTCGAACTGAGTGATTTCGACTCCAAGTGTGGTCATGGCAACTACTGTTGATCAATGTGGATTTCATAACGCAGCGCTACCGATACAAAACCAAAACAAGACAAAACAAAAAATCAAGTCCAAAGTCTTGCTATTGTTCTCTCTCTTCAGAGCCCATTTACAAGTGTGGTCCCGTTAGGGGAAGGGGTCTTTAAATCCTTCGTCTGAGTTTAAACCTTTTCACGTCCCAATTTCGGAAGGTTAGCATGTCGCTGTTGGAATTTTGTCCAAATGCACCGATATTGACATTGCAAATGTTCCAGTATAGAATGTTCAACGTAAATGCATTCTCGTAATTCTGTTCCTGACATTTTATTTTCGGATAATTATAGACCAAAATTAAGAGCCTTGCAAAGTGCAATATGGGAATTCAGAGAGAACAGACCCAGAAAGGGGAAAATCTGAATGTTGAGGGTGTGACTTAATAGGACAGAGCATGACGTGATATGAAAGAGGAGAAGAGAGTCAGATGGCACTGGTCACACAGTAGGCTGTCAATACTCATGGAAACTTTAATTGTAAAATACAATTTCTTTTGCCTAATGCACTGCAATTCACTGTCTAATTTTTAGAACTCCAATGTCGCTGTTGATTTCACTTTCTCTTTTTCAGCTCTCCCTCTTGTCACCTGTTGGAATTTACCCTAACAGGGCCTCACAGGTATAGATACCCTTTTTCACCTGACTTGGTGAAAATGACAAGGGTTATTGTTGTTATAACTGTTCTTGGGGAATAGGTGGTGAAAAGATGTAGAGATATGACCTGTACTTTGAAGTTATAGGAACAAGTGCCTCTGGAAAATAACCTTTTTCTTTGAGCAGGGCTAAAACTGGGATGAACACATGAATCTTGTATCAGAGATAATGGATAAAAATAAGTCACAAAAGCTTCAAATCTTCATGTTTAATAGTTGATGATTGCTTTAATTAACACAAGACCACTATTCACTGACTCGTGGTAATACTTTATTATTAAACTTGTCAGGTATCTTGTCCTTATTTGAATTGATCAGTTCCTAATTGAAATATGAACATAACTACATAAAAATGTAGATATATACACTTTACCATCAGACTTAAATCTACTGGTAAATCAGTAAAACCATTTTCATTTTGTATATTAACATGCTATCAGAACTGACACATCTTGAACTCTCCCTTAATTTAATTAGTATTAGTTGCTTATTAAGGTTAAAAGTTAATGTTAATTAAATATTCTTATTAATGGGAGTCCACAATATGTCAGTTCAGAATTTTTTGGATGGACTTATTCTAAGTTAAACTTCCAATTTCACTCTTAAGAATTAAATTGCATGAAAATTGAGTCTGACTTATTTTAAAGGCTCAGATTGAACAACATACATGTAATGCCACAGTACAAACTTACGACTATATTTTCTCTTTTTCAGCACACCAATCTAATCACATTTATAAGATGTAGGGAAGAGCATTAAATGAACTTCTCTCTAAATTTCTAAGCTATTTGTACCAAAATAGCTTAATTTTGAGTTTATGAAGTTGTATTATAAACTCATCAAAAGCTTTTATTTCTGAAATAGTTAAACTCAAGCAACTATTTCTGAAATAGGTAGCTTTGATGCTTCTATTCCTGAAATGGTTATATTCAAGTGACTATTTCCAAAATAGATAGCTTTTATGCTATTGTTTCTGAAATGGTCAGACTCAAACGACTATTTCTGAAATAGATATAGCTTTTATGCTTTTATTTGTGAAATGGTCGTACTCAAAAACCATTTTTGAAATAGATAGCTCTGATGCAATTGTTGATTTCAAGTCAACAATTGCTGTCATAGAAAAGAGAATTTTCATTTGATGCCTGCCCAGGGGTCTACAAAATGTGACAAGAGAAGTGTACTGAAAATAGAACAGAAACTTAAACTCTGAAAAAGGAAAAAAACAAAAACAAAAACTGATAACTCCAGGTATGTAGTTTTAATCTGAGCCCTACTTGTCATTAAAACTGCTTTTACAATAGCTATATAAATACACTGAATCATGATTTTGTTGGTTAGATCAGTGTAGATATGCTCTTAAATTTTCTTTAAAATGTAAAACTAACCTAGCGCACCAAAGCCGGACACGTAAACCCCAAAAAAACCCATGCATAAGAGGAAAAATGGGGACCGTGTACCCCCAACCAGTGCTATGGTGCAACCTTTGGGGTTTTAAGGTGTCTAATAAATATGTACCTAAAAATTAACTTAACAAAGTTCCATATGCTGAGTGACTTTGAGGAAGCATGTCAAATTTTCCCACAATTGGACATGTGCATTCCCTTGATGAGTAGTACTGCAAACTTTGAGCTTTAAGAAGTCATGAACTTCAGTCATCAATAGAGGTCTTAACATGCCTAAAACACAAAAGTTCACATTGAAATACTTGTGTTAGTACATCAAAGTGCAAACTTGCAAAACTAATGATCCACTGTGCAAGATGAATTTGCATAATTGCTTGTACAATGCAGGGGTAAATAAATGTACATGTAGTCAGTATGTGTCCAGATATAGAAACTGTCTGTTAAAAAAGAAATTTGTTACCAAGAGATTTCTATGCATGCTTATCCTTCTCAATTTTGCAGCTCACAAATTTGATATGAATTAAAGGCCTGTACTCAGGAGTTAAATTGTGTTTTACAATCAGGTTGCCAGCTTGTTTTCTTCATTTTAGAGGAGGAAGTTAAAGTCATCATGGCATCTTACTTGCACTCTTTATGTTTTAAACTTCATTATTATTGAATTAATAGATAGTTTTCCTTTTATTACTAAACCACCATTTTTAGTCTTAGTTATTGTTCATAACCAGGAGTGTGTTATCATCCATACAGGTGGATTAACCAGTTTGTGTAACTGTGCAATCATCATTTTTAAAGCCAGCATTTAGGCCACCACACAGTTCAGGTACATATGAAACATGAAATTAAGAACTGCTAAAATGAAATATGTCTATTTGCAAATGTAAAAACACATTCTAGACATAGAAAGGATGACCAGTTCTTCATGAATCATTTCAATTTAGTATTGCATTAATCCATATCCTGAGTTAACTGCAGTTCACATCTACATCATTGTTTAAAATTCTTTCCTTTCTTGTTTACTATAATTCACAATTTATGATATGGTTCAAAGTTATTGATTTGCCTCCAATTCATTGTTATCTGGTCTATGTTAGCTGGGGTAATTATGCATGCAATTTGAAACTTGTGTTATAGTTTGACCAACCTTAAGCTTTCTTGTCCAGGATGTGGATTTTGAACTGGTCCTTGTTTTATATTCCTGGCCCAGCCAACACATGTACTGGTAGTTTTCTTGGCAACTTTGACATAGAGCGTTATGATTCATCTATGGAATTCTGATTGACTACTTCGCATACAACATGGCCACTGGAAAATAAAACTTTCTAGCACACTGGATTATTAGTACAAAATACTTTGTTGCCATGCTTACCAAATCTCATATTGTTTTACATGCTCTTGGCCTAGGTTACATCCTTTTTCACTGAACACTTTCACTGTATGAAACCCAGCTAGTGCAAGACAGTGTTTCATGGGCTTGAATCCCATTAAGGTGTAAATACTCTTGGTTAAGGTTTGTTCCTCTTCTATTAAAGCACTTTCACTGTCTGTTACGTAGTGCAAGAAAGCATTTCATGGGTTTGAATCCCATGAGATTAAAGTTCTTTGCTTCTGATCAATGAGTTCCAAGTCTACTGATGAAAGCATTTTCACTCGTTACTTAGTATAAGAAATTGTTTCATGGGTTTGAATCCCATAAGATTTAAGTTCTACTTCTGATCAGCTAATTCAATGTCTACTGTTGAAAGAACTTTTACTGTCTGTTACTTAGCGCAAGACACTGTTTCATGGGTTTGAATCCCACAAGATTTAAGTTCTTTTGCTCCTGATCAGCAAGTTCCATGTCTACTGATGAAAGCCCTTTCACTCTCTGTTGGTTAGTATAAGAAAATGTTCCATGGGTTTGAATCCCATAAGATTTTAATTCTTTGCTTCTTATCAGCAAGTTCCATGTCTACTAACTAAAGCACTTTCACTGTCTGTTACTTAGTGTCGGAGAGTGTTTCATGGGTTTGAATCCCATAAGATTTAAGTTCTTTTACTTTTGATTAGCAATCTATGCTGACTGATGAAAGCACTTTCACTGTCTGTTACTTGGTGTAAGAAAGTGTTTCATGGGTTTGAATCCCATTAAGATTTGAATTCTCTTGCCTCAGTGAGCTCAGATAAGAGGGTCAGTACTATCCAAAGGAGAAGTCATTCAAAAGCATGGAAGTCTTATTGACAGAGAAAGAGAGGAATGCATGAACTAAGTGGAGATTTGAAGAAAATCAGAATAGTGTAGGACTGCTGTTATGAAGCTGCATAGTAATAGGATTTCTGATGTGATCTTGTTCAAAGGAATTGCTTAGTTCCCTGACAATGACAGGTCTTTTGGAATTGAAGGTATTTCTCATGTACGATGAGAAGGAGTCAAGTCAGCTAGTGCTGACTTGTCAGTAAGGAGGACTAAGCTTTAATTATTAGATATCTCAGGAAATGAGGAGAGGAATTTGATTGTAAGGTTAACAGTGGTATGTATTCACAGTAGAATAGATGATCCTCTTCCTTGGCATTTACGTCCCTAGGTGACTTCCTGTTGTCAGCTTTTTGGCAGAAGTGTGGAATTAAAGGGGTCTCTTGTGTTTAATGAGGAGGAGTTATGTCAGGGTAAGCACTGGCTTGTCAGTAAGGACCACTAAGCTTTGTTACATCTTTCAGGGAATGAAAAGAGGAATTCCATTGTGAGGTTACAATGGCATGTATTCACAATAGAAAGGATGATGCTCTTCCATGGCATTTGCACCCCTTGGTGACTTCTTGTTGTTAGCTAGCTTTTTGGCAGGAAGTGTGGAAGGCATTTTTCATTTCTCCTGTATGACAAGAAGGAGTTATGATAGCTAGCATGTATTTGTCTGTAAGGACCACTAAGCTTTATTTCTTATTTTGGGAAATGAGAAGAGGAATTCCATTGTGAGGTTAATGTTTGTATGTATTCATAGTAGAAAAGATGCTCTTTCGTGGCATTCACACCTCTTGATTACTTGTTGTTGTCAGCTTTTTGGCAGGAAGTGTGGTGTTCTTGTGCTTGCTTCAAGGTGGCTTGTTAACCCTATTGTTTAGGGGAAGGGTGATTTCCTTACCTGTTTCTAGGATATGATATGGGTTTTTGTGGCCCTTGCTTTATGTTGGCTTCTTTTAATCCTAGGGATGAAGTCTAATGCTCGTCTTTACTTTCTGCAATCTTTTAAGCCATCTTTATGGTAGGAATTAAGTTTGGTACAGAAGTTATCTATGGCCCATGAATCCAGTTGGCTTGTAGTGGTCATCTTTTTGGTAGGTAATGTGATATTCCTCTGTGGTATGTGTCTGCTGGGAGAGTGATTCCCTGTTGTAGTCCCCATGTTGCTTGGCATAATCTGTGTTGATTGAAGTATGATGGTCTCTTTTAGTCTTTTCTTCTTCAAGGTTTGTTGTCATCTGTGTGTTTGGAAGAGAATGCTTTTCTTGTGATTCATGTATGTGTGGAATTTGACAGTCCTATACCCTTACTCTGGTAGTAGAAAGTGTGATCATAGTGTTTCTTTCTCTTTGACTAAACGTGCCACATTCTTACCAGTAACTGTGTAGAAGAAAGAGTAGTTGTCTTGAAGGATCCTGATGTAAGGTGGCATGTCATCTGTCTATTAGAAGAAGTGATGGTCTTTCAAGGTCCTTAATTTGAGACATCTTGTTTTCATTTGTACTTTATGAAGTGTGTAGTCTTGTTGGCCCTTCAAATTTTCAAGGTACCTTGTCATCAACTGTGTGTTAAGGTGTTGTTGTTGTTTATTGTTTAATTACCTGGAAGAAAGTGTGGTTTTCATCAGTGGTCCTGGTCATAGCATGGCTTTTCTGGTCAATTCAAGGTAGCTTGTTATTACCTGCAGGAAAATAAATTAAAATAGGAGGGAGTCAGATCCTTCATGTAGGGTGGCTTGTATCTTCAGTTGAATTTGTCTCGCTGTGGTTTGTCATCTGTCATCTGCCTTAGAGTGCAATGATGTTCACAATCCTTCAGGTTCTTCTGTCATCTTTGATGCCTGTATCTTCAGTTGACTTTGTATTGTGGTTTGTCTTCTGCAATCTTCCAGTGAGTGCATCGATGTTCACAATCCTTCAGGGTCTTCTGTTGTCTTCACTTTAGGGGGGTGCTTATTGACATCACAGTGGTAGAAGATTTGATGGTTTTCTTATGTCTTGTATTTTAAGTGGCCTCTCATTATCTGCATGGAATGGAATGTGATAGCTTCAAGTCGGCTTTGATCAAGAAAGGTTGCCATTTGTCTGTTTGAAGATGTGTTAATATCTGTCCTCTTTGTTTTATGGTCCCTTGCTATCTGTTTGAAAGGAAAGGTGAGGGTGATATTCTCTAGTTCCTGTGTTCAGTGATGTGCAGTGGTCTCCCATGGCGAGTAATTCAAGGTAGTTTGCTGTCATCTGTTTGATAAAAATTTCAATTGTCTTTTTGGCAGCATATTGTTATCTGTGTGGAATGTAGAGTGAGCAAGTCTTGAATACCTCATGGTTTAACATGTCTCTTCATCTGTGAAGTAATGAGTCTGAAGGTCTTCTGTCATCTTTGCTTTTAAAGTGGCTTCTTATTACTTGTGTGGGAGGAACTGTTTTAAGTGGTCATTTAGTTTAAGGTAGCTTCTTGTAGTTTGGTAGGTATTATCAATGGTAGTGTTCAGTTACTATGGCTTCAATGTGGCCTGCCATCTTTTTGGTTAGAAGTTTGATGGTATTACAATATCAAGCAGACAAGAGGTGAAAACAAAGAAAAATATCAGTTAGGGGATCATAAGTTGATCCAATACCAAATTCTCCAAACTACCATCATAAGAACTGTATGGGAGACAGTAAGGAGAATTACTAATGAGATCTTGGTAGTTAAAGGGTCAAGTAGGAAGTGTGATGGTCTTCAGTGACCTTTCCTTTAAGATGGCTGATTTTCATTTGTGTGTTTGAAGTGCTGTGATCCCTAATTGCCCTTCCTTCAGGTGGCCTTTAGTGTCATCCATGTGTTAGGAAATGTGATGATCTTATCCTGGGGTTGTGTCGCTTTGGCTTTTCTAGAGGTTAAGGGGGTTGCTGTCATTTGATTGGTAGAATGTGTGATACATTATTTTGCAGTCCTTAGTTATGGTTCCCAAAAGTGCTCCATGTTTCTTGTTAAAATATTGTTTTCAGATGTACAATGTTCTTTTGTGGCCCAGTTCTTTTAGGTTGGCTTGTCAGCCATGGGGGTGGAAGGAGGTATGAACTGTAAAGAATATTTGTGGTGGCTCTTGATTCAAGGTGGCTACTTGTCACTGTAGAAGGAATTTAAAGATGTTCTTTAGAGACCATTTCCTTTTAAGCAGGTTTTGTGATTTGTGTGGTGGGTTGTAAGGATTTATTGTGGCATGTGAAGTCAGTATTATTGCAGAAGTGTTATCTGATTGATAGGATGTGATACATATTCCTGTAGCTTTTAGAGGGTGTTGCTTCAAGGGGGTGGGGGGTTGTTTTTAATTGTGTGGTGAGAATTGAAATTCTTAAAAATGCTTCTCATGTTTTCACTTGACATCTTTTGGTATAGAGGGAAGAAGCTTGTTGGCGTAGTGGAATATGCGAGTAATGCTCCTCATTGATTGTCATTAGACACTGAAAAGATGGCTTGCTGGAAAGCTTGTTGTTCTTTTATTTAGTGGTGACTGCTCTAAGGTGGCATGTTGTCATTTGTGTGATAGGTTGAATTGTGCTCAGCTGTGGTGGTCTGTTACAATTTTTCATGGCTTTACGAGTTGTTTTAGAAGTGTAAAG